AGCCTGTCCTACCTCAGTTCTGAAGAAAAAGTGCGCTACAAATGAAAAGGAAATAGTAAGTTTGTTTTATTTTTTTATAGTAATAGTTTGTAAGCTGCACTTCCATATTATATTACTGTATATATCCATATACAATTGTGTATTCATTTACCAGTATTTGCTGGTATATAATCTAAAGTTTTATTTAAATAAATACAAATTATAGTTCAACCTCAATCGCAAGACCCCTGCTAGAAGATCAGCGGCATCAACGGTGAGAGCATTAGCCACATCTGATATTGCTAGCAAATACGACAAACTGCTAGAAAAACGATTGAAAATTGCAGAGATGCAGGAAGAAATGTTGGCATTGGATTTGAAATCGAAATCGAATGAGATTGCCCAGAAAAATGAGGAGCATGCCAAAAAAATGGAACTGCTTGACATAGAAATTAAAATAAAAAGAAAACTTTTAAGTAATTGCTAATTCATATATTTTTTGTTGTATATTATATCAATTGTCAAATTTAGTTCGTTGCAAGTTTTTTTTTTAAATACAGATGTTTTTTAACAATTTTTTATTAATACATTTTCTTACTAAAACTACTACTACAAACAATAAAACCAATCTACATGTAATTACTTAACTAATCCTAAACCTCACCAAAAAAAAATAAAAATTATTGACTAATTTTATTGCAAGCTTGCAAAGTAATTAACAAATTGTTGCTGTGTATTGTTGGAAATATTATTTATGTTAACATCTTGCAATTGGCCAATATCAATCAAATAATCAAGTTCATTAATACTTATTTCGTCTCCTTGAGGGGGCTCTGGCTCATTCATTTCCCGTGCAATATTGTGTAAAACAGCGGTGGCAGTTATTATATATAAAGTTGTCTCGACTTTTAATCGAGACCCATATGCCAAGATAGGAAAGCGCCTTTTCCACACACCAATTGCTCTCTCAATGGTAACTCTTGTGCGAATTAGAGCTTCATTATACAAATTTTGTTCGCGATTATTTGGGTTACGCAGTGGTGTCAACAAGAAATTTTTTAAAGGGTAACCGCTATCTCCTAAAATCGTTAAATAAAAAGAAAAACTATCCGATTAACAATAAATATACATACCAAGCAAAATTCCATTTGCAAATTCTCCTCTTTCAAATCGCGTGCAAACATTACTATTATTAAAAATAGTTGAATCGTGCGAAGATCCAGGCCAAGAAGCAACCAAATTGATAAATTTTAAATCGGCGTCACATATTACTTGGGTATTAATGGAAAAATACGATTTCCGATTGCGAAATATCTCAGCATCTTCCCCGCCTGTAATAATAAATGAATAGTTAATACTTTAATTGATTTATCATTAACTCAGTTACCTGGAGACTGAATACGAATCTGTGTACCATCTACCACACCTAAAACTCTAGGAAGTCTGGCTATATTATAAAATTTAGTCTGCTTTCTTCTAAATTCATGTGCTACTGGCATTTTAATATATCTTGGAGCTAACCGAACCAAGCACATTGAAACTTTTTGGACGATTCGGCTAACTGTAGATGTATCCATTTGGGTGAAATCGGCTACAGAACTTAAATGACCACCAGTAGCATATACTCTTAAACAAGTCAGGAACTGGTTTACTGGAGAGACACTGTTATTTCTAGAAAAATTAATAAAATATACCTTTTTTAATTTGGAAAGTAAATAATTATATAGGTATATCCACACTAAATTTGCTATGTAAATAGGCAAGCATTTGATGTACTGCTGTATAAGTATATGCACATGTCTGTTGTTATTTCACGAATTCTACTAGTATACTTACAATTCATTAGGATATTCTAGATCCGGTTGTAACACTCTCATAAGTTCAATAACTGTTGTTTTGTACAACCTAAATCTTTTGAAAAAAGTTAGTTCGTCCAAGTCCTCCAATGGATTATTTCGGATATATATT